TAAAGACCTCCAAAGAAGGAGACTCCACCATAATCTCCAAGGGAGTGTCTTCTACTGTCGAACAGCTCTCACTGTCAGGCAATTCTTCCTAATGTTTAGGTGGAATCTCTTTTTCCTGTAGTTTGCATCCATTGCTCCATCGTGTCCTATTCTCTGGAGCAGCAGAAAACAAGCTTGTTCCATCCTCAGTATCCTTCAGTACTTCAACAGGGCTCTCATATCACCTCTTAACCTTCTCTTCTCCAGGCTAAACATACCCAGCTCCCTAAGTCTCTCCTCATAAGGCATGGTTTCCAGAATTAGTGACATACATGCACATAACTCAGTGTTCATGTGTGCATATGTTGTTTTGAATGGATGCAAGGGGTTATTCTCTAGCCCCTTGTATTCCAGCCAAAGCCTTTCCCTCTGCCAAGCCTGACAAATTCAGACTGCCATCCATCCCCACTGTAGTTCTCCAGGACGAGAGGATGAAGATGACATTGAGGACAGATGCCACTCCTTACTACTCATTCTCCATCTCCTCCATGACTATTCAACAGCTCTGGCTGCACCCCTTGGGGCTTGAAAGTTTGCCCAAGGTGGGGAGAGAGATGTTGGGTTACACTTGGTGCATATGAGCCAGGATCTTGGCCAGTCTCTCGTTCTCCCTGACATGACAACCCTTTATGTGCAGTATACCACTTTGGGCTAAATTTGAGGTGCAAAATTTATGCAAAGGGGTCAAGATACACACACACACACACTCCTAGGTTGGAATGTTTGTTATTCATATGTTTGTTTATTGCACTTACATCCTGCCTTTCTCCTCAAATGGAATCCAAGGCGGCTTACAGTTATTTTGAAAGGTCCAACTAAAGCATTTACCATAATTTACAAAAATTAAAAAAGAATTAAATGTTAACATTATTTTAAAACATAATTTAAAACAGGCAAAACACTAAAAACATAACATACTTTGTGTTAAAAATAGTTAAAATAAAAAATGCTAAAAATGTAATGCCTGCACATAGAAAACTTGAGGTCCAAGAAAAGATGCCCTGTGTCTGCTTGTTTTCTAGGTGCAAGGATTGTTTCAAAAATTGAGAAACGTGCCATCAAGGTGTTCCCTTGCCCCTCCTACAGTGGTACAGCCCAGACTCAGATTTGAGTCTTGGCAAGACTCAGCTTGCAGCCTTTACCTGATAATGATGGTGTACATTCCATTACTTCCACCCTGCCTTCAGGGCTGTCCTCCTTTTCCACAAAGGCTCTCTTCTCTTCCCAACAACAAGTCAATCGGTTTGACTGATGATGATCAAGCACATCTTCGTGATCCAAATCCTCACATGGCTTCCCTCCCATTGTAAAAATGAATTTGGATTGGATTCTGTGATGGAGAGCATCACTGATAATGAGAAACACACACACACAGTTAGCCCTCCACATTTGTGGCTTTGCCTTTTGCGGATTTGGTTATTTGCAGTTTTGATTAATATGTTCTCTCTAGGAATAGGTCCTTCAGCACAACTCTGCCAGAAGTTGACTATAGAGTTACGCTGAAGAACCTAGAAGTTCCTAGAGAAAACACTTCTCTAGGCATTTATAAGTCCTCCAATGTGATTCTATGATCAACTTCTGGCAGATGTTGACTGTAGAGTTGCACTGGAGGATCTGGGGATTCCTAGAGAGGTGTTCTCTAGGTAAAAAGAATAATATTTTTTTTTTATTTGCAGTTTTCCCACATTCACAGGGATCCTTCACTCCTAAGGCTCAGATATGAAACTGGGCAAGATTCTAGGTTGATGAACAGGATAGAAATGTGAGTTGCTGGAAGGAAATCATGAGAGCCAGTGTGGTGTAGTGGTTTGAGCATTAGACTAGGACTCTGGAGAATAGGGTTCAAATCCCCTCTCAGCCATGGAAACTCACTGGGTGAGTTTGGGCAAGTCACACTCTCTCAGCCTCAGAGGATGATAAAAGCAAACCCCTCTGAACAAATGTTGCATAGGAATCCCTGTGATAGGGTTACCATACGGTCACCATAAGTCGGAAATGACACACAACAAACAAGGAAAGCATATACAATGGGCTCTTGGTATCTGCTGGGATTTGATTTGAGGACTCCCTGTGGATACCAAAATCTGTGGATGCTCAAATCTCATTGGGTAAAGTGGCATAGTAAAATGGAGTCCCTTATATAAAATGCAAAATCAAGCGTCGCTTTTTGGAGTTTATATTTTTAAAAAATATTTTCAAGCTGTGGATGGTTGAATCCATGGATAAAGAATCCGTGGATATGAATGGCCAACTGCAGCCTGCTTAAATACCCTAAGGCAGGGGTCAGCATACCTTTTTTTGGGGGGGGGGCGGTTCCGCTGTCCCCCAGATCATCGGCGGGCCGAAGGGAAAAAAATGGCAGCAGAGGTGCGCTCTCTCTCTCTCTCTCTCTCTCTCTCGCTTATGCACTCACACACGCATGTGCACCACTCCCAGCATCGTGCGCATACGTGCACGAGCGTGGGGTGCCATTTTGTGTTCCAAAATGGCACTCGCGCACATACATGCACAAACGCTGGGAGTAGTGTGCATGCGTGCGCGAGCGCAGGCACTTTTTGGAACACAAAATGGGGCTTTGCGTCACGTGCGTGCGCGTGGCAGCAACAGCGGCAAGACTGGCCATGGACTGGTTGAAAGGCCTCGAGGGGCCAGGTTCGGCCCCCGGGCCGTAGTTTGCTGAACCCTGCCCTAAGGCACCAGATCTTAGAAGCTAAAAAGCATGAGCCTTGGTTAGTACTTGGATGGGAGACCACTATTAAATACGAGGTTCTGAAGGCTATATTTCAAGGGAAAGAACTAGTAAAACCACCTCTGAGGATTCCTTTCCTAATTAAATCCTGTGAAATTAATGGGGTCGCTGTAAGTCAGCTGGAATACAAAAACACTGTTTCAAACAAAATATCATTAACTTTCAGAAATCATGAACACGAGGGGTGGTGGTGGTTACTAGCTTAACTAGGTCACAGGAGAGGTTTAGACAGGTCTTTTTAAAAAGAGGGTGAGATTTGTCTCTACCCATTAATGGGACTAGAGGCAGTCTGTACATACAATCCTGTCTAGTCCAGTGTAGCATATTGCTTCCACATATGGAAGTATGTTGCAGATGGCCATATGCTGACTCTTGGACCTACCAGAGTCTCTGCATTTCCTCCATGGCCGTTCCCTGCTGGTGGGGGGGGGGGGATCAGAGAGCATCTGGCTATGTCCCTGTATCCAGATGCAAAATGAAGGATCCTCCAGACGTCTTAGTGGATTTTGCATCTGGCTATGGGAACATAGCTAAACATTCCTCCGATCCCCCACAACTCTCACCAGGTATGAATGGCAGCAGGGGGACTATAGCCACTCTATAGGTGGTCTAGGAGCTTTGGTTGGTGTGGAAGGGGAAAGAGAATACCAGCTTCTGCATCAACTTAGAAAGGAATGCTGTGATTACTAAAAGTCAACATGGGTTTCTCAAAAACAAGTCAACCCATACTAATCCTATCCCTTTTTTTGATGGTGTTACATGTTTTGTAGATGAAGGGAATGCTGTGGATGTAGCATATCTTGATTTCAATAGGGTCTTCAACAAGGTCCCCCATGATATTCTAGGGGGGAAAGCTAGTAAAATGTGGATTAGACAATTCATCTGTTAGGTGGATTTGTAATTGGTTGACCAAAGGGTGCTCAACAATGTCTCCTCTTCTTCATCCCGGAGAGAAGTGACCATTGGGGTGCCACAGGGTTCTGTCCTGGGCCCAGTTTGCTATTCAACATTTTTATCAGTGACTTAGATAAAAGAATAGGGAGCATGCTTCTCAAATTTGCAGATGACACCAAATTAGGAGGAATAGCTAATACCCCAAAAGAAAGGATCAAAATTCAAAATGAACTTATTAGATGAGAAAGCTGAGCCAAAAGTAACAAAATTAATCTCAACAGGGAAAACTGTAAGGTATTGCACTTTTCTCTTATATGGGACCCAAAGCAAGATGCATTTGTCAGTCAGTTGTTGGAAGCACTGCATTTGTTCAGTTCTTACACTAAGAATAAATATTGGCAGATTTTCTC